GCAGTGCTGCAAGGAAGACTGTTGATGGGGGGCAGGGAAACGTTACACTTCTTGTGCAATAGCGGCTTTAGGGTGGGGATGCTCGAAGTAAATAATTTTTGATTCCGACAGGGGGTCTCAGCAAAGGAGTGCTTCTTGACAAGAAAGCAGAAACGAACCAACAGTCTAAACCTCAACGCGCAAGCCCGAACTCCAAGTACCCTCGTCGAGAACCCTTACCCACCACAAAAATATGACCGTCCATTGATTCTGCCTGGCGTAGACTTTCCACCTCCAGCTGCCGACTTGAAGCCTCTGACTTTGCTTGCCTGAGCTTTCGATCGTAGCTTGACGTTTACACTGCATAAACCTGTACTTGCGATGCGTGATTAGAAGGCTGGCTTCAGGATTGTGAATTGACCCGTATCTCCCATCGTGATAACATCTTCTCACTATCAAATTCGATAATCACAATCCTAAGATGGGTCCCACGAGCCCAACTGTCCTTGTGAGTGTAGGGATGCATAATACAAGGCAAGAAGTAGTAAGCGTGAACAAATAGACTGCTGATCACAGATATCAATGGCAGTATCGGCAACTATTTCGTGTATTACTGTCACAGGTTTAAAGTTGCCAGGTGCAATGACAGACTCCCGCTACTCCACAGGCTCAAAAACAGAAACATTCCATTCTTAGTCGTGTTGCTGGACCTCTGCTCTCGCCTGCTCGACGAGCTTCGCCTATTTGGCCCAAGGTTTAACGGGGCCAGTGCAAGTTATAAGAAGCACAGTTTCAGGAGCATGCAGACATTGCGCACAGACACGAGTCACGAGTAATACTGACTTTGCCTAAGTGCATGCTTTGTGCATGAACGAGGTTCGGATGATTATGCTCGGCACCAGGTTCCCTGGTCTCATTGTTTTCCCGGCAATGAGTGATAAGATCGTACGAGAGAGGAGCAGGTACATCAGCATGCGGAGCCCATACGCCGTATGACGTCTCAGAATTTCCTACGAGCCATCTCATAAACAACTGCTGTTCCCCTGCCGCCTAGCTTGACTCAACTTTGCAGGATTCTCACCCCTGTGGCTTACCCAGACGAGTTATAGAAGCAGTGGGTTGTGCTCTCAGGGTGTTGTGATTTGGCTGGAGCTTTCATCGTAACAGTTAACCTGGCTGCTACCAACCAACAGGTAAAAGGCCCTCCCGCTACGAGCTCCTGTTCCATCTGGGTGCCCTGATATGTCTATACCCACAACCCTTGGCCACTTAGCGCCTGATGTTGCATGGCAGACTCAAACTCCGACAGTTGACGCAGTGCACTCTGCTTCTGCGTTGCAGCTGCAGCAGCGAGCATACCTCTTTACGGGCACCAGGGCAGTTGATTTCTTTTGGTCTGAGGGCTTCCGTCCCGGATGTTTGGAGCTTCGTGGATAGGTTTCATTTCAAGGTCAGAGATAGCTACCTAACGCCTTACCCAAGCGGGACACCCCAGAGAACCTCCAGGTACATGTGAGAAAACACGCGAATCCATCTACCCAGCCCTTGCTCAGTACGGCAGGGTTGTGGCTTGTGTAGGTTTCATGCTACAGTTTCACAGGTGTGTCCCTGGGTGCCATGTTTTAAGATCGATAAAGCCCGTGCCATCGTGGCCTTGGCGGGGGAGCGAGGGCCGAACCTCAAGCCCTGCCTTGCCTTCATGTTGCTGTCCCAGGAATCACGCAGGAATCCCAACCGTTAAGTCAGGGGATGTGCACTTGCATTGCTGTTCCCCAAGCTGCTGTTTTGCAAGCCTCAGACGAGGAACTCTCTCTCACACGATGAATTTATGAGCGCGACGCATGTCTCTAGCCACTTCGGAAGAAGTCAGGGAATGTAGATGAAATCAGAAGCTCTGTCATGCTACGTGAGAACATTTTGCCTCACGACATTGGTGACCTCAATAGGTCTTGGGCTTTCCAGGTCTGCGGCGATGAGGCTTGCAAGCACAATTAACAGCACCCTTCCTCTCCATCTTCCTGTGATGAGTCCAAAAACCGGCCCCATCACCTTGCAGAAAAAAACACTTGCGATCATTTTCGCTATCATTGATCTGGCTCAATACCTGTAACTTGCACACCCGCACCTAGTTATATATGGACCCTTCATGGTAGAATAATGCTACAACTGAAATATCACGGGACTGTTCCAGAGAAATTAGAGCCGATATTCAACCTTCAAGCTAGACCCCAGCTCTAGTCGTGCTGGTGGCTTTGAATATCATTTTGTCCTGTTTGTGCCGATGGTCATGATGCGTACAAATGAAGCGCGTCTCCAGGTAGAAAAGGGCTTACGTGCGTAGCACCCTGAATGGATACCCGCAAGGCAAATCTACTCCGCTGAAGAACACCACTGTTCAAAAGCCCTGCTAAATAAAGACCTCAGGCAGATGTTCCCCTCTTGTGATTTCCACGGCTAGCCTGCACTACTCCAAACTTGTGAGCCTGCATGGCTATACTTAACTTCACAAGTAGCGGTAGCGAGCACTGCAGGACTGCAGTTGGAAACCCCAAAGTCCTCCCAACACTGCATCTAGGGCGCACTGCTTCTCAGCCTGCGCGAGTGCTTCCTTTGCCAGTTGAAATCTTGACTCTGCCTCTGCGTGGAAGCTTTGTTCAAGCTGAAGCACAGAACTACTGTATAACAGGTGCAAGGTTTTGGGGTGTGTCTGGAAGCGAATGCCGGGCCCTTCCCTCTTTGGCACAGCCATCCGCATACTAGGTCTGAAGAGCCAATCGTCGACAGGTGTCGCTTGCGAAGAGGTTCTGTTTGCCTGACAGCCCTTCAAGCATGATTTGACCTTCGACTTAATGTTTTCCAGAGCTTTAAACATTTTGAGGGCAAGGGCTTTCCTGAGCATGACAGGTGCAAGAATGTACTACTTAACATACAGCACATCATGGGCGACCAAGAACTCTGACAAACCTCTAATCATGCTCTCGATTGGAAAACCCCACAGTTTCCAAGCAAGAAGTCTTGGCCAAATTAGCGGTCCACTTTCTGGACACCGAAAACCCTGTTAACATGAGAATGAGAGAGCTGATTCCGAGACCTGATTTGCTTATCAACATTCAGTAGGAACTACAGGCTCAAACATTCCTTCCTGAGCTATCCCTCACGGACCTTGCGTGAGAGGATCTTTCTGTGGATTAATGAAAAACCTGCTAGAATAATTGCAAATGTTTCCGGTCATTAGCTTCGGAACTTGTTTTTTTTTTTTTTTTTTTTACTTGAAATCAGTTTAAAACCGCTCAGAACCTATTCAACATAATCCTCTAATTCACGCTCTCGCTCTCGCTCTTGCTCTTACGTCTTCTTCATCTTCTTAACCGTACCACTTGTACTTGGCATGATTCATTTTTTCGTTGTCGGATCTCTAGAATAGTTGGGTTCGGACTTCATTGTGGAGGGAGGGGGTGCGCTCCTTATTAATCAAGAGTGGATTACTTACGCAATGCGATCCCTTGGCCTCGTTGGATGCACGCTCGGCGGCTGTTCGTTCTGCCGTGCGCCACTTGACCTCCCCCAAAATGGAGTTTACAGCATCTGCTTTTTCATGCTGCCATTTAAGTGAAGGCTTTTGGGTGTTTAGTGGTTGTGGTCTTTTCCTCTGAAGATGCCGCTCTTGAGGATGTCAGGGCTTTGGGGCTTTCAAATCCGAAGTTATCCTACAGTTCTAAGTCTATGTAGGACAAAGAAGAATCCTCGTAGCATTCAAACCTCCAATAGCGCTAGCTGACTTGTGCTTTCAAGTTCCACTCAGGGCTCTTGAAAGGGAACCTTTGCGAGGTCGCATCTTGGAATAATCACAGGTCATGCTACCAGCAGCGCTACCAAGATCATTCACAAACCCGCAGTGGTGAAAATCTGCACCCATTGCAAAACGTCTGCTTTCAAGGTACCGCGAACATTGCCCCCGAAATGACGAGCTGTTCTTGTCTCTCAAGGGAAGTTTCAAAAGGGTCCCTGCAGCACCCCTGCCCCTCGATGCCAACGACCTCAAGTGAAGTGTGCGTATCGTTAGTTGCCAATTATGGTCATGCAGGATGTTATCCATCGACCGTAGGTTAGAGATGTTGGAACTTGGGCTTCTCAGAAAGTCCTTTGGGGTTCCACATCTAGGCAGGGCCTCCTCCAAGCGATGAGCAAGTCCCATGCAAAAAGGCAGCCTGGAGTTTCAAGGTAGCAAAAGCCCAATCCAAACCACCAGACCCAACCTCCGAAGCCATTGCCCAAAGAAAGTCTCTCAACAGTTTTCGTCCCCATACTCTTGCCTGCTTCCCTTGGTCAAAACTTGTCTCAGGCCCAATATAGCGCAGAGCCCTGGCAACCTAACCAGGTGACTCCTAGCTCCGTTGAATCAAAGCCCCTAACCAACCCCAATTCATAAACACATAGCATAGCATACAACCATCGCCCTAACATTCCAGGAAACACCTTGCAACGCGCGCGTCTACATGCTACTCGAGCTGCTATTAGGGGGTGTTAAGTGCACGTAGTAACGATGCTAAAACCCTAAACCCTATTTTCATTTTCCATGTTTTCCATTTGATTCTCCATGATTGGGGATAATGTCCCCATGATATGACACTTATTTTTGCGCATCTATGCCCTGTCATGAAAACCAGAGATTCCAACCTCGGCACGGAGCTCATCATCCTTGGCCCGAGCTGCGGCGACTGCGCGGGTGGCGTTGGCCCATTCCTTTGTGCTTCTCTGCCTCACCTCTCTGTCATGGGAATGTCTCCCGAAACAAGGAAATGAGTTCATGTGAGAATGCTTGCACGAGGAAACTGGAGAAATTTCCCTGCATGGGGCCTTGAGATGAAGATGGGAAACTTGGATGGCGTCCAATGTCAGCGTGCCTTCATCTGGTACAACCTCCAACCTTCATCTTGCAGAGTCTGGGTCACTGTCAAAGATCCTCTTCTCACGTGAAAGATTCCTTGCACTTTGCCTCCATTCAAGCTGGTGACCCTTACCCGCCAAATTTGACCCCGAAATCGGCACACGCGAGGCTTCAACGAAGTTTCAAGCCAAATGCGCCGCATAATGATAAACAATAACCTGGAGTTGTAACAACAGGGGTGGTGATCGAGTGGGATATCAATATTTTCTGGAAGCACGTCATGCCGGAAAGTCTCTGAGTGTTACTGTTCAGGGGCCTAGGCGCTTAGGAATTGGGCATCTTGCCATAGATTCAAAGACTTTCAGCAATGTTCAGGTCTTCGGGCTATTTCTACTTCTGCAAAGCCGCGTGGGGGTGTGATGGTAGGTGCTATAAACCATAAATAGGGCATTATAAATGGGGAGTTACAGTGACCCACTCCGCCTTGAGCACCAGTGAGTGGATGACCCATGAAGCTGCCAAGCTACCGTCTCCGCGGTGGTGCTTTCGTTTCGCAGCCGATCCTTTGAAAGCACCGAAACGAGCCTCTCTTACCTAATCCTAAACTTTCCGAATCATAAACACTCCGCCCATCAGGTCCGACTATATACTGGTACGATGTTGAGAGCATTTCTTGTATTTTAGGGGGTGGAGAACGTGTTGTTTGGGCGAGGCACCTTTTCAAGATTGCTCCGGCCGCTTTGCAGCTTGCCAGTTGATTCATGCATCAGCATTACCAATCAGTCTCACCTACTGCTTAAAGCGGAGCGTGAGATCGGATTTCTGTAGCAATGACTGAAGAAACACCATATGCCCCCGGCCCCCAACATAATGCATATACACTCGCCAGCAAGCCAAGATCCTGCGCAACGTGTTCATGAGCTCAATTTCCCAATCTGGATCCTCGATATCCTTGTCTAGCCGCTAAGTCGAAGAAGGACCTCCCACCCACCAATGTCGACAAAGAGTAACGTATATACACGTATATACATACATACATATATATATATACATATATATATATTTCTACACATTGAAATGAACTTCCCACCGAATTTATCAAATGCATGGCCACGGAAACACATGCCGCCGCATAAGGTTGAATTCATACTTGCGCGGCTGCTCCAAGAGGAATCCCCGTACATACCCTCGCAAATATTCCCAAAAAGCCTCAGAAGGATGATTTGAAAAACCTTCCCTGTACACAATTTAGTGGAACAGTCCCTTAGGTTTCAAATACCTTCGGGTGCCGCGCCCTGGTGCGGTTGAGGGAGCCAGGAGCTGCCAGGACTATGGAACTCCACAAGTGGGAGTCCCGTTAGTAAAGGGCTTCTGGATGGAGCCTGGTAAAGGCTCAAATTCATGTCTAGTAACATTTGGCGCCCCTTATGATATCTACTGCAAGATTCATGTTGAGAAGTGCACGAGCATCGAGTGACATGGAGGGTGACATACGACCTTGTCTTCATGGAGCCGGGGGACCCCTCGACTCTTCACAAGGTGAGCCAAACAGCAAGCCCCTCCACAGTCAGACCTTACATTCAAGAACTCCAGCATCTCCCCTCTGAGTGAACTGAGGCTCTTGTAGGTTGTCAAAAGGCTTCTCTGAGCCGGCCATTGCTCTCAGACCTCTACCTGCATCCCACTACACCATCCAGCCTTTACCGCTGGGCGGGAGTGTCTTGGCACACTCCGCCGTGCGGGTGGAAGGCCCACATCCGCCAAAAGGGGACGCTTGAACCAGAGGAGGAGCATGAATGCAAATACTCCACAAGCAGAACCTAGAACATCAAAAAGGAATACAAAGACTACTTTCCATTCAGGAAGAGGCGATTTAGGGTTCCACATCAGTTTGGAAGGGCGCATCCGCAACAAGGTTGTCCACTGTTGGAGAGGGTATGTGCAAAATCGATTTATGGGCGACCTGTTCAGCAGTCTTTCACTTCTTAGCGTTCCTCCATGATTGGCTATTCCTAAAGCTGAGGCCACTCTGACACCTGGAAAAGCTGGGATCCTCAGAATAGGGTATCCCCTCAAAACCAATCAACTTGGAAGGCGCTCATGCCTATGAGGCCCCACTTTGAGATATTGTGTCTTTTGATCCCGTATGGGTTTCTGGGGTGCCAGCGGGCCCAGAGGCTAGGCCAGGGTTCAAGAAAAGAACGAGGCGCCTGTTTCTCTCACATACGCACACAACTACCAAAGAAGATCTCATGCTGCCTCCTTCAGATGCCTGGAAGCACACTTTAGCCCCCTATATACTGTAACAGATCAGAACTTAAATTTCGAGAAACCCTCCACAAAGGTGCGGGCCTTGCATCACACAACTTCTGCCGGATCTCTTTCATCTTGGGCGATCCGACCCAGTTTTCACCTTCAGCAGAAGTCTAGTCTGGAAGTCATACAGTACAGAAGCTCCAATATTCGCCTGCTACGTGAGCCTTGACTCGAGGGTGCGAGGTGCTCCATAGTAGAACAGAATTCCCAATATAATTCGCTCTTTCAAGGCTTCCCACACAGTTTTCAACGTTGCAGGGTCAGAAACAAGGCCTACTCTGACAAAGACACCTACAAACAACAACAACAACAACACATACAGTCCCATCCTCAGGACCCCAACAGCTAGCCCTAATGCAAATCTCAAACTTGTAGCGCACCCATAATGGTTCTAATGAACACATAAAGACCTTAATTTATCCGCCAGCACAGACTTTTACTGGGTGGGGGCAGCACCTAATCTTACGCCCTGACTCCTGAACCCTAAGTCTTCAAAATACCGCAGTCTCGATCCTAAACCCTAAGCCCAAGCCCGGTGAACAGCAAGCCCTTTGGCAGGACCAGGGTGTTGCTGATCAGCCACTTGCAAAGGGAGTTGCCGGGATTCAACACTGCATCCTATTGGGAGATATATATATATATACATAGGGTTCCGGTCTGGATTTGGGGTGAAGGCGAGCAAGTTTTTCCAGTTGGCTTGCTTGACGGCGAATGCATTTGCAGGTGAAGGAATTCGAAGGACTGCGGGGGCCTCGACGGCATTTTGTGTGCTGTGTTGGGCATGAGACGCTTTTTAATGTAAGATGTTGCTATTCCGTAGAACTCCCACCATGTGGAGTCTTTCGACGTGCTCACCACCTCCAAGCGTTCAACATCCACAACTCCATGATCTAGTTTTTGGGACCCATGTTGGGCGCACGATTTCTGCGGAGCCAAGAATGAGTAATAGGAACAAGGATGGAACGTGCTTCCTGCAGCAGCACACCAACAGCGATAAGAAATGTTCTACAGTGGCAAGTTCATGGGCAGTGGCATCTGCCTCCTCAAGGACCCATATCGTGAGCCCCACAACTATACCTTTTGCCGCAAACCTCAGGAACCATCGCCCCGTACTCTAGATGGGGCAACTAACGCACCACCTTCTCCACTGTAGACCTACGGAATACCTTCGGGATCCTAAGTGGTCAGTGTGACCTCCATCCACGGTGACACATTGAAGGCCCCTTCCGTGAAAGGTGCCTTGCTGAAGGCCCAAACCAGTTGGCTTAGGCCCCCTCTCTACACCAGTCTAGGGTCACTGCAAGTCCCTAGTGTGCCACTATGACAGGGTAATGGCGTGACCTAAAGGATATGCCAGCCTCAGGAGCCCTCAGAAAGGCACCTCTCATATTTGTTTCATCTCCGTAATGCTTGGCTTTGGGTTGCAGGTGAGTGGGTTCATACAAAGCCTGCATGCGAGGAATCTCCTCCAACTTTGGCAAGCAACGTTTTAGGCCATGATGCATGTCTCATGAGGCAGTACCTGGTTATTGTCTACCGCAGAAATTGGCTTTTAATATACATGAGCCCAGTGCATATTGCGGATATTGCCGGAGGGTGTTTTTTCGCAAGCATCGCCCCTCAACTCGAGGTGCGGTGTATCACTCCCAACCAAGTCAGAAGCGGATTTGAGCAGCTCTGAGCAGCAAGCCAGGTTTGTCGTCAAAAAGGCGCCCGTTATACGGGAACGAGCCTTAGACACTGCACGGGTCAGCTGGATGCAGGAGAAAGGGAGCTCGTAGTGATGCATAGAAAGCGGCCGTCAATTCCGGGCTCTTAACAATATCAATACGTGGACAATGGCAAACAGCAAGCCCACGCCTGGATATGCTAGTCCAAAACCCAATTCCAGTTTCAACAAGCCAAATGGGTCACACTTTAGCATGGAATATTCAGTCGTGTAACCTGAGTCCAGCAAGAGCATGCTAGAGAATGCAACTAAACACGCACAACAATTACAGGAAGAGTTGATGTTGCTCGGGAATTGGCGGTCAACGCAAGCAAACTGCCAAGGCTTTGGCCAGTCAAAATCTTGTAGGCGATAACTCCAACGGCGAAAATGTCGGAGGCAGGCGAATACTTACCTGCATGAGGTGGCATCCCTCACTGGCGGTCGGCTTCTGAACCGCCACTGCTTAAGTGAAAGTAGTCTAAATATTGTCTCCCTGGAACTTTCTCGCTGTCCGTCCGTTCGTTCGCGCCAGACTATGCTCACGCCCAACTCGTCTACCATGCTTCGAGCGTTGCTTGTTCATGCACATGCTGGTGAACATAAAAGCCAGGCATTATGTATAGCAATGTATGGACACATTTCCAAAAAAAAGCCTTCGAGCAACGGGAACTTTGGCTGTCATGACCTCATGTTCTGCACAGCTCGGGAACTAGAAAACTACTTAAGGCAACGCAGGCCAGATACAGGAAGACCTATGCCGAAAAAGAAGTATGTAAGCCCTCCAAGTCAAGAAGCGGCAGGCCCCTCCGGCCGCAGTAGTTGCAGAAGGCTCCGTTTCCCTCATCCAAAATAACACAGAATGCAATGTAGCCCTGCTTCAAAAGGACAATGGTCTTTGACGGACCTTTCCGGAATTCCACGCCAGCCTGGGAATTGTTCATCCAACATAGCCAGAACTTCGGCCAAGAGATACTCTGAGTGAAATCAGGCCCTCAATGTCTTCCTAAGAGGCTGGTTGAGGCTTCGAGATTTACAACTCCCCGTAGCCCAGGCCAGCTGCAGAAGCTGGGTAACACTAATGGCTACAAGAAGATTTTGAACCCTACTAACCCCAAACCCTCAGAAGAAGCTCACGCGGGTAAACCGCTTTAAGCCGCCCCAAGCAACAAAACGCAACCTGCCTTCGTAGGCCTCTGGGGCAATATACTGATCTGTACCAAGCACATGCTTGGACTTGGGGCTTGTAGAATTCCTCCAGGTCAGAATGGGGCAAGGTCCGCAGCTTCAGGGCGAGCTTCAGATTTTACAAGGTTTGCAGGCTCCATGGACTTTATGGCGAAAGAGATTCGCCTTCACGATGCCAACAATAGTAGTATATGAGAAGCAAGTACTATTACGAAAGCGGTAACAAGACTACGAACGATACCAGATATTGTCGAAACATGACAATTACTACCGAACATATTTACAAACATATACGACTGACGGCTTGCTGATGCTTTTCGGGTTTCAGTGCAGCGTCCTTTCTGGGGCTTCTGGATTGTGTAGCTGTGAAGGGTTGTGTTCCTGAGGCTTACTTCCGTTCATTTGGCTTGTGCTATGGCAGAACCCACAGGGATTTGCGCACGCCTCTTCCATGTTAGGGTAACCTTTTCTTGGGCATATATGTCAGTTTGAGGGAGGGTGCTGAAAGCAAGTTATATGCGCGAACCAGGTGAGGCAGGCGGAGGGGCGGATGTGCAATGCTCATGCTGACCTCATGTCGGCCCATTGCTACTTGAAAGCCACGGAGGAGTGAACGGACACTCCGCGATCTCCTTGCCCATTGATACCCGGTTACCCTCCCAATACAATCTGAAATTGCTCTATTCCAAATCTTCCTCACGGATGCTGAGTTCATTCCCATCGAATGCCTGATCATCTGAACCTAGTAAGACTCTCCCCTGAATATTGAATACTCTCATCGTAAGTTCGCCATACATTCCGAGAATATTTATAGTTGCGGGAGAGGGGGTTAGTAGGGAATGAAAGATCAAATGGAAAAGCAAGCTGAAAACAAACTGACAAGTGGGCTTCACCTTTTAAAGGTTCGCCTCTTAGGGTGAACTTGCTAGTTATTCGTAGGGTATGGAGGAATGGATCCCATAGTTTCCCCTACGTAATTCTAACAACCTCACCTTCCCAATGGCAATGCCAGTATAGCAGTTATGGCTGAGGGCAGCTCCATTCTTCGACAGTGTCGAAGTCGATAAGCTTCACCTGAGCATGGGGGTGTTTTCGGGAATTCAGGCTCCCACGTATGTAGTCCAAGCTCATACATAATCCATGTCTACGCAGCCGCATGCTATTAAACTACAGAATGGCTATGTGCACCGAAGGCCAAGTACCCCAGGACTGACTCCTGATTTTTGGAAACACCCATCTTATTTCGGCCCACCGCTTGAGGCTCGGCTTACAAACAACAGGATCCTGCTTGTATGGGAAGGGCATGCTGATCGATCTTGATACATGTCCTCTTCGCTTTCCATTGCCGTTTCAGGACCCCCTTTAGCATACGCTGCTTTGCATTTGGATCACTCTTGCTAAAACCTAGCGCAGGATTGACCATGGTGATAAATCACCACATCGCCAGGCGACCAAGAAAGCTTCGTATGTGCATATTTGCTCTGGGACCTTTGCCTTGACAAGGTGTAACGGATACCGAGCCGTCGGACATTATCCAAGCCACATTGGAAAACGGATCAGAACCTCTAAAGTATGAGCAAGGACCAATGTGCCACTTCATCCCCTTAAGTTTGGCCCACCTCCTAAAGCTATTTCACTTGAGCACTTGGGGCTGCTTCATTTAGTTCCTTGCTCGTCCGCACTGAAGGTCGTAACGAGGTAGGCATTCAGTGAGGGGGTTGAATCAAGCGTTAGGTTCATGTGGGTACTTCATTAAACCCCAAACTTCAGCCCTTAACCCTTCGTACTCAGAACCAGCTTTCTGGGACGTGGACACCAGCACCAGGACCTTGGTTGGCAAGCTTGTCATGCAAAATGAAACATGGGCAGTTCCCGAAATCCAGGGCCCAGATGTTGCCCAGACAGGTCCTAAACAAGGAAGGGATCCTGAATCCTGACAAATATCCGCACCCCAGTGAATTCAATCGGTGCTTCCTGCGTTCGCTCAAAGCACAGGAAACCATCAACTTGTCCTTCCGCACCAGGAACGCGTGGCACTATATGTTATGCCCGCTTCTCTGTGTACTATCAATAGCAATTCTTTCTGTTGTTCCTGCCTTCGTCCTTTTGGGTGATTGCAATAACAATCGAATCTATAATGTTAGAGTAAAGGCTGATAATAAGAATGTGACGAAGCACGCAAAACCTCGCTTAAGATAAAAAGAAGAATCAGTCCAATAAAAGATCTCTTTAGGGACAACCATTTTTCTTGGGTGATACCCCACCCACTCAAAGGGGCAAATGCCAATTTTAGTGAGGCGCTATATATTCCCTTATACAACCATGCTTGGGGTGGGCTGACCGCTTAGTCGGCTTAGTCTTTCGGACAACTCCCGCTGTGTGCAGGTTCTAGTACCCTTGAAATTTGAAATTGAACAAGCATGAGCCATAGGCATGGTTTAAAGATACCAGCAGCTCATGTCCGACTGTACATCAAGGTTTTTATGATCCCTTTTGGGTTCCAATGACAATTCGGCCACGAATATTTAGTATGCCCCAAGTGGGGCCACCGTACTTACACCCCTCTTCACCTCTTCGGAAGCAGTAGAGTCTCAGATCAGATGAATCAAGGTTGCCGCCCTGACAACTCTTACCAAGTGATGGGGTGATGTACGAAAAGCCTCCGTGCCCACTCACCAGATGAGCTCCAAATTGGGCTTTGTTCGGGATTGTTTGGGCTTTGCTTGGTCTTGCTTGGGCTGGGATAGTCAGGAGGGTGTCCGTACACCACCCAAACTTGGCAAGCCAAGCCCCGAACCTCCCCGCCCGAAGCCCGATAACTCTGCATCTCGCTTGGCCCCGCACTGGTTGCCAGATTTCGTCGTATGTGCGCAGGACCTGCCAAAGCTGCAGTCACATGGTTCAAGAATGCCGAAGAAGTTAGTCTACATACAGTGAGTCAGAAGGTACTGAGGAACATCATATCATATCACCGTGACTAGGTAATTGTTATACACCACCATCTCCAAGAATCTCCTCGAAGTCATACAGAGCTGGCACCCTGAGCACTGTTCTTCATCTAACATCCTGACCTCATCCTCAGCTGCAGCCCATAGATATCCCTGCTGTCTTCTGTCGGCTTCCGCCCGAGTCGACTTTATCTGCGCTTGTCCACATCTCACGGTGATCATGGGAACAACTCCAAGTAACGTCATGAATATCTGAAGGCAATCAGAAGAATATCGCCAACAGCAGGATGAAATTTAGGGATGGACAGCCCAAAGGGGGTCTTCCAGTGGCTTAGAGGAGTCTACCACATGCAGTTACTTCCCCGAATGACTGTGTGCGACCACAAGCTCGCCTGCGGGATACCGATCATTCTATTCTTCAGAAAACTACCGTCCCCTTCCCCGCGCAGATCTTCTTGCAGCAGCCTCATGCCCAAGAGAACAATGTAAACTGAACGCTGCGGACTGCACACAAGCCTTCTGCGCACACATTTACGTTCAAAGCATATCCGGATCTGAGGTCCAACTTCCTCCCCTCAAAGCGGACCTTGCTGCCCTTCACCTGAAATATGCTGCGTTCCAAGTACTCGACGCAGGCTCACAGCCCGACCCTAAATCATCCATGAATCTGTCTGCCCTGGGGTCCAAACACTTTGGTCCAGGCTTGTTCAGCATCACATTCTCTAGCTTGAGGTCCTTTGGCAGCATATGAAGTTTCAAATGATGTCCTCGTTCAGGCGTACTGCAACCACTTTTAGTCAGCTCTGGACCTTGCAACAAGGCCCTACCTCTCATGAATCCCCACCCACGGTGGAACCCATCTTGTGGGAACTGCCTGCGGCTGAGCCCAATCCGCACCATGCCAAATCTAAAACCTAAACAAGCTCGGATACTAACAACTCAGAGCTATGCATTCCTTGTAGTTGGAGCTCTTACCTCTGCTTCAAGCTAAAGACATGGTTACGAACTCCAACACCGAAAGCCCGTGTAAACAACCCAAATTCGAGCTGCTTCACGCTTGGGTCTCGAAATCCCCTGATGCAGGATATGGGTTTCCAAGACTCACATGGCTTTGTGGGAGCATGGAAGCACTGTCTCAAGCTTTGGGACGGGGTGCCCCTGCAGTTGCAGATTCTCAGTCAAAGTCTGCGGAAACTGAACCATGCCTTGGAGGGATTCCCTGTTCTGGCCAGGCTTGGGCCTTCATTCCCAAAACCTGGCAGGTGATATCCAGCCTGTGGTGTAATTCCTGCCGGTGGCGGCATGCCTTAACTGCGCACCCAATCTCCAGAACCCCAAGCCCTACACCCTGAAAGTCCTTGTGGATGAAGCCATGGGCATGCAGCTCTGCCACAGCCTCATGCGCAAGCTTTGGGGACTTGTAGGTTAAGGCTTTGGGTGCTTGGAGATTCCGGGGCTTGCTGCAATATCAGCCGACTGATTGAAGGCTCTCTCGTGCCTCAGCACGCAGACAAGTGAACAGGAGAAGTCCTCGGACTCATGTCTCCTACGGTCTGGGCCTCGGTCCTCCCAGACCATTCCATGATTGACTATACTGTATCCTGGTTCTCATGCCTTGAAGCGTATCAACCCACACTGAGCGCCGGCCACGAAACCTGGAATCTCCCTGAACCGCACACCTATTTGACAGAGAGCATGTGAAGCCAGGTCACAGTGAGGAGCTCCTTCAGCACCTCTCTGGCCTCTTCTGCGGGGTTTTGTAAGATTGTAAGAAGACTGGCAATTAGCAGGCGTGGGGTCGGAGAATGCCTGCAGGGACAAGACGCTCAGAAGATCTCAGAAGTAAGGGTAGCTGACATTCAGTAGCTGCAGCTGTTCAATTATGTAACAGCATTGGACCTTATTCTTCAAGTCTTTGGAATCACATGCTGTGAGCGCAAATCTTGAAAGAAAAGGAGGTTCAGAGGCTTGAGATGATCCAACGACAATTCAGGCGCCTAGGCTACGTTGCCGGGCCAGCTATTAATACAAAAGCGCTGTCTGACTGGTAGAGCGCTGTTTGAGGCCCTTAGCTGGACACCCTTGACTGTCCACCTGCCGAGTTCCCTGACTCCAAAATGCGCAAAGTGTCCTCGAGCTTCTAGTCTTTATACGAGCCAAGACCGACCGATGCCCCCCCTGAAAGCTGTTCATTGAAGCCTCGTGGGGCGGGAGTCGTCGCTCTGGTGCCTCAAAGGAAGGGTTCTAGGTCAAGGTTTGGCCAACTTTCAGAAGCAGCGCTCCTAATTGTGCAGCCATCTGTTGTATGGGTGGTTCTGCTACTGCTATCATGACCTCCCCTACTCTTGCAGAAGCAGCTAATTGTACCAGCACCGCACATACAATCATGTTGCTGTTGATTCGCTCGCATCGGCCCAGCAATCAGCTCTCCCTGATATTGACACCCCAGTGCCCCAGCCCCGAATGCCGCCAACTATGGATACTTGCAACATAGTACGGCTTTTTGGAGCGGCTAAGCGGTGTTGTTGCTAAGAGGTGCTGATTAGTGATTAGGTTTGCACCTGCCCCCACCCTAATAACAATGCCTTGAAATTAACAGCTCCACTGCAACTCATACAGGGTGGGAGGTTTCCTTTCAAGCAGGCGGTGATTTATGACGTGCTTCTGTTGACAAGTATTCGCTTGTTCTACCTTGGTGACCACTGGGGCTTCATCAAAGGTTGAATGGCAGGTGTCGCCCTCCGGGTCTCCGGGTCTTGGGGTGGCCGGGGTGTCGGCGATCTGTCTCTCAGCGGGGCCAATCCTAGCCGCAACTGCCGCCAGGTCAAAGTTTTCGCGGATGAGGGGTCACTACGCTTCAACTTACGTTGGGGTAGGGGAACAAGGATAAAGGCTGAACTGAACTACATCATTCTTTTTGGATTGTTGTGTGGCTGGCTTGATGCTGCGGCAGAGTGGGCAAAATTACAGAATCCTAAACCATCAAGGCTCAGAGCGTCCGTGTTCTCATCAGCTGTTTGCCGAGAGGTGTCTAGTTGCAGAGGGGGAGTGTCTTTGCTTTTCATTGTCTTTTGCATCATTACATTACCCAGAATGGCTCTCCTTCAGCCGGCCCCCAGCTGCTCTACCATGGCTCAGAATCTGAAAAGCCAGAATTCAAGAGCTCTTGGGGCCGGACGCCAGACAGACACTCATAGAGATCGCAACCTCAACAGAATACCAGAGATAAGGGTTGTTGTAAGGCTTCGTTGGGACAGAAACAATATGCAATCACAGAGGTGTGCACTGCTGCAGGAGATACGTGTGCATGAGGTACGAACAGCTGGGCATATCGAAAGAACTTGCTTTCATAAACGTCATGTGGTGTCATCTTGGTCATGGAGGCCGCAGTCGGACCCCAGGTGCCTTCTATTTCTGAAGTGCAGGACACCAGAAGGTGGTGACTAGGCTATGCAACGAACACCTCAAGCTCTCGACTTGCAGGGGCTAAATCTCAGGCCCTCAATGCCTGGCCAATTGCCGATTATTCAAGCTCTTTGGCTATAAGCGAGTTGAGCCGTCTATGCACAAAACGCAACAACAGGACTGCAGCATCTTCAGTCCTGAAGATATAGCCCCGCCTCTAAGCTCCAGAATCCCATCCCTGAAGCTTCAGAAGCCTACAGAAACCTAGACCCTAAACTCAGATGTGACGGGAATTCATGTTGAACGTATACACCCGCCTCCAGCGCGCTCCATCACCACGTAATAGGCTTTGCCATCCTGGCGCGGACTACATCCCGCAAAACCGGTTGCAGTACTGGCTAGGAAATTAGATAGAGAACCTTGACCAGATTGTAGCATGCAGGTCTCCATTTTAGAAACCTCTTTTCCTCGTCATCTGGCGACTTGTGGGTTCAAATTGCCCGGAAATTGTTATGGAAGCAATGCCGCCATCATGCAAGATGTTAGCTGCACGAAGCTAAAGTCTAAGGTATCGGAGATGCGGGTTATGTTGCAAATGTCCAGAAATTAAGAAACGCTCGGCTCTTGTTAACAGGACGTGAAGAGGAGAGAAAACAAACAGCTCATACAACCCAATGCGGGACTGCCTCCACCACGTCGATGAGACGAGCCACACCATTGGTCTGGGGCATATTCAGGATGAGCTCCTGTAAGAGTCATTCGAGGAGGTTTGTGGGCTTTAGATTTTTTGGGGCTTGAAGGGCGTTCATTGCGCGAGGCAGCAGCACGGGCTCTCAGAAGTTCAGGGATTGAGGCTTTAGGATGGACATGTGAGTTCATATCTTTGAAGTTTCTCAGCTTCCCAAACGGCCCTGACACAACAAGGCTAGCTGAGCTGACCTTGCTCACCAAGTGGTTTGCAAGCAGTATGCCACAAGCGTAGAGGCTTCGCTCATCTCGGGGCAGTGCAGGACTGACGTCAGCTTAGGAATGCCAATCAGGGAAAAAACGTGTTTTAAAACCAGTCCAGTCTGACAGGTCGCTGCACAGCGCAGACCGCTTTTGGGACTGAACCTTTCAAGGCCCTTGTGCTCCGTCGTTGCAATTCTGGTGGCATGAAACTCTAGGGGGTCCATGGGAAACATGTCTGCCTGTCTGTGCTGTTGGATCTTGATTAATGTGGGCACATTTCGTCTCCCGAACACAGCGGGGGCCTGTGTAATCAAAAGTCCTCAAAACAAATTGGGGGTCCATGGATCCGATTGAGCTTATTAACATCAACAAGGCCTAGGTGGGTCCTCAGCAGTCGAGCTGTAAAACTCATTAAAACCAATTCTCATCTACTGAAAACATTGAAAATCTGATTGAGTTCAACTTCAATGAAAGCCAGGTTTGATCCAATTAAGCACAACTAACAACAAAACTAGAACGACCACGCCAGAAACCCACAAAAACTCTATAGAATTGAGACACCCCCTTTAGGATTTGACTGCCTAGCCTGTTCGAATACAAAGTTTACTATCATTTCGATGGCTTTTGGTGGTATCAGATTCCATCCAGATTTCCACCTGTAATAGAACCTTCCCTGCACTTTTTGTTTAAAGCCCAGGCCTTTAAATGCAGCTGCTGGCTTGGTCTCACCAACCCCACCAACAAAGCTTTTCATAATTCGCCCTCCCCTCCATCTTTTTGCATGGTTGAAGATCAGGGGGTCTGGTCGTATATCGTGACATGTCTCCAAGCTGGAGCACTAGTTCTGAAATTGGCAAACCAGCGATTACAGAGGATTCGCCATGCAACACCGGTTGTAGAAACCTATGTAGTCAAAGAAAGGGCGCCCGGGTTCCTGCTGTAAACGTAGGGTTTAAGGATTTCTGAATCTGCCCCGGAACCCTCCCAGAAACAAGACCTAGCTGTTGGTTGGAATTTCACTGCTTTGCAAGAACTAAAAATGTGTTCAGAACAGCCCTAGGTTTGGGTTTGCATGTTGATGCCCTCGCCCCATCCCTCGGCCCCACTAGGTTGATGATGAATTGCAGAGCGCTGTCCGTGTTGTTTCGCCATCTGGACTCTTCGTTCTTCCCCTGGAAGCTCTTGTTTTTATAGCGGAGCTTGACCACAAACCTCAGCAAAAGGCCAGGTTGGTTTTGTTTTGCGCTTAAGGGAAATTCGGACGGAAAAGAAGATGGAAAAGAGATTGAACATGCAATGCAACGTGGCGTGACACAGGGATTTAAGGTATCAGGGCTAGGTAGCCACATTACGAAACAATAGTGCTATCAGCAAGGATGACAAGTCGAAGGCATTTTGACTCCTGTTTTCCCACCTAGTGACAACGGCATATCGGGGTGAGCAGAGTTTAAGGAACTTCCAACTTGTGAAGCAGGTGACCGCTTGAAAGCTGAGAACCCTATAAGACCTACAAATATCTCTGAACCCTGAGACTTCAAACCGCGTCCCTGCAACCCATGGATGGAACTCGCAAACAAGCAAAGGCCCACATGTACACTAGAAGCCCTGCAGACACGTACAATATAAGGTAGAAACTTAACCTCAAGCTTAGCAAACCGAAGCCTAAGCCTTCTCCTGTAAATCTGAAACTCATCTCAACTTACGGGTTGTAGTCCCAATGACCTTCGATAAATCACAATCGGGTCCCAACATCATACTGTCCAAACGTAAGGATCCAAATGCACATCCCTCGATGAACAGGAGCCTGGAGGTTCCGTTCTGAGACCGAGGCGACTCTGTGGATGGACTCTCCTGCCCAGGGAAAGGCAGCTGGGTTGAGATGGTTTTTGATTACATTGTTGTATCTTCTGCGCTCTTGGTGTGGGGCACAGGTTCAACTAAGCCTTCGGGTGTAGCGTGGACTCTGACTAGCGAAAAGCTTACATGAAGGTCTCTGGGTTCTCAACTATAGTGTCACGGGGTCAGGGTCCCTATCTGGCGCCAGACGTATCTTGTGATTGACCTGAACATGCACTACCGAGAAAACCCTCACTCATGGAGATCTCAGTGGTTCGGACTATGCTAGCCTGGGAATGAGGGCCAAGCTTCCGAAAGGCCCATGTCCCAAACCCAAGCCCTAACTGGATAAGCTGCAAATCACTAAACCTCAGCCCATCAAGACCCATAAACCCTCAGGAAACCCTTTCTTGTACCGGCTGATGAACACCAGCATAGCTGGCTAACTCTTTGATGCTTATATTCTGTGTAGGACTGCTTCAAAGATTCAGTCCCTCATGCCAAGCATGTCCCAACCCTCTGCTGCTACTTCTTTGCAGTACGAACAATGCTTTCCCAGATTCTAGCACGCTTTCTGCCCCTGCCTAGGGACTTTAGGCATCTTGGAGCAGTGGAGGAGAGGGGTGGCATGTGTTGGTACTGTTTAGGGGATGAAGCGCAACTTGCTGAAGAAGTGGACCAAAGGTGTTTGTTCGATGCCATCTGTCTTTCTCTCCCTTTTTCCTTTTGCGCTCCTCGCATGGATGAGCACCGTGGCAGAACCCCGTCCGCAGCTGTCTCTCTCACACATCGCAAGAGCTCGCAGGATGCCAGGTGTGCATCTGAAGCAACTATTCTCATCATCATCACCCTTAAAAGGAAAGACAGTCGCACACGTTTGCCTTAAATCCCATGCGAATGGGCGGGGCGGCCTTGCAAAGTCTTCGCACACTTCCCGCCTGTACAAATCTGGAGCCTGAAGCTTGATGGGAGCAACTCCCTGATGGGGTCTGTACATGTCCCATCTCCGCAATTCTAGCTATTGGCTCGACGGGGTACGGCGAAATCATCTCGCATGCCGCGCATGAACAAACAAAATCAGGAAGGAGCACCGGATGGCTCAGGTATGGGAATCTGAGTGATTAGTGCTTCCACGTATCCTTGCGTATATGCACCTCAGAAAGAAATTGAAACATCCAGGTTTGCACCCCCATCAGATACCGCCTGAAAATCGCGGATTGTCATGTGACTTATAATCAAAGAGCGCAACTCATCAAAGCGAAGAACCACCAAAACTTAAGCCTTGTCACGCGTGGTCTATGCCTGAGTTTGGTCTGGACTGTCTAGAATTGGCGCACGTGACCCAAGGGAGCCCTACCTCGGAATATTTGCTTTTTTTCAACCGGTCCGGTTTCTGACCATTCAGACTCCCATTTGTATGCGGCTGTACCTCGCTACCAAGGGCCAACGTTGGTGGCCAGGCAACGAGTTCCCGGCCGCATGGTGGAATGCACTGAGCCGATTCTATATCATTGCCAGATCTCACAGGAGGGCTTTGTATATCTTACAACCATTTGGAAGTTCGGTAAAATCATCCCCGCTAATTTCCCACACATGTTTAGACCCAGCGTGCTTCTATCTCAAGAACCGGCAGATGTCTTCAGAGCACGAGACATTGGCTGGCAATGACAGCATCGGCCTAAATTTCCAATCTAATTCCTCAACACCCAGCAGCATCGTTTGATAGGATCACAGCGCCTTCGTGCACAGCCTCATACACGTGTGCATCGCTAGAAGGGCACCAGCCAGCGGAAGGCTGGATGCAAGTGCCACAGAGAGGCATCATACCATGAAGAGAATCAGTGAGGCAGCCATGACCAGCATGCCAGCAACCAGGCTGTGAGTCACCACGACATCTTTGGGGTCGTAGCGGTGGGCGGTCGGGAGCAGCTCAAGCACAACAATCATGATCATAATGCCGCCAACCTATGCTAGTGTCCCAAATCACGAAAGAAAATTAGGTTTCGGATCAGTTTCCTCAACAAGAGGAACTACCGGGGCAGGCTTCAAAGAGCAACTATCCAGGATCCTAGCAGCCATGCCAAACAGGATGCCATAGATGATGCCGTTTAAATCCTCTCCACTGCTTGCAACGATGCCCCATGCGATGAGGGCTCCGATAGGCTCTGACATTCCGGAAAGGGTGGCCAGGAAGAAGCCTTTGAGGTGGGTCTGGGGTGTACTCTCAAGGGGCCAAAAACTATTTTATGAGTGGGTTCCCGTAGACAACCGCCTGGGAAGTTGGCAAGTAACTCGAGCTGCCACCTATGTTCCAAGTTTACCAGCCACTTCCACATCAAGGCACGCGCAAAATGATACAGGTAAGGAACTAGAATGAATTAATTTAAGCATTTGTTGGTCTCACAATTCAGTTGCTGCCTGTGGACCTTTCAGGCGACTTCCTGAGGAGTAGTAGACTGGCAAGGCAATGCACAGGCCCTCTGGAAGGTTGTGAATGGCAATGGCCATCGTGAGGGTGAAGCCCACGCTGGGATCGATCAAGCCTGCAACCATGCCAGCCAAACCTTCAGGGCTCCCCTTGATGATTTAAAACTCTATCCCAGTAGTTATTCCTAACTTCTAGCATCGTGTATATCGGGGGAAGATATTTTCACTAGGGGGTGGTGTTGTAAGAGGAGGGGAAACTGTCCTAACTGGAGCCCCAGTGCTTCAGACTGCATTTGCTAGCAAGGCCTAAAAGGAATTCACAAGAAAAGCTTTGCTGCCAGGTGGGCAAGGAGTCGTCACGATGGGGGAGATGAATTGCTGTCATTCCATAAACGTTGTTGTGAGCGTCATTGGTACTAGACTGTGAGTCTGAAACCAGAACCGGATCCCACATCTCAGTCCTGATGAAACGCGAACCGGAAACCTCGCAAAGCCCGATAGCCAAACGCTAAATGCGGCCACGGATCTGAGTTGGACTCTCCCCCAAGCTCTACAAAAAAAACACCAACAAAGCGAATTCCTTTCCAACACTCAATTCCTATGTATGACTTTTAATGCGTGGGAAACCCCAAGGTCTAAGCCCCAAATCTGCTAGGTATCTAAACCTAAGTCCACAAGCCTCCGCATAACAAGCAGCCCGGCCTTCAGGGAAGTTGTGCAGGGTAATAGCTAATGCTGTGTTAAGACCCATCCGCATCAGCGCCTTCTCCTGAGAAGCTGCCAGGGAATCGACATGTAGTTCCTTCATATGAGCTACTGTCTAAACTCCTAGTATCCTCCTTAATAACCCCTATAGTAGTCCCCTATATAATCCCCTATATAACCCCCCTTTATGGAGTTTAGACTATGGTTCATATGGGCTTACGTGCTTGGGTTAAGTGACCACAGTATATGTAGCAACTAAGGATGGCTTACTCTTGTAGCTCAATCTCAGTTGCCTAGCAGCAACCGCCAGGTTTTCTGATCTGTGCGGCGCCAGCGGGCTTAGGTCTTTTGGATCCACGGTGTAGAGTTTGGGGTTCTAAAGGGAGTCCGGGGCTGCAGGGACTTTCAAAGTGACGAGTGGCAAATTGTGTACACATCGGGGAGAAGAGGGGGCTCTTTCTCAGAGAAACCAAAACATTCGCAAAGCGTGCCTTCTCATGTCTGCTGAGCATCCGAAGCCTCTGAATCTGGAGACTTGACGGTCTTTGTCGTATCTGGGGCTTCCAGGGGCGGAATTCCAATGGTCACAGCCTCCAGGGACTCTGAGGGAGGTGTGAAATATGCAATCAGAACCGAAGGCATGTAGGTTTTGCTCGGAATTGCCACTCTCTAGGTCCTTCTTGAGGCAAACAGCTACAGAGCTTCCTCATGGTTTCAAAGCTCCCCCTGTCCGACAGCCTGTTCATGTGCATCGTGCTTTGGGTCCATGCAGTGTGTCAGAACGGCAATCAGCCGCATCATGAGCATGCCGCCGAACCTGGCTATTCTTGGGAATGCTGAGATGGCAAACAAAAGCTGCCATACTACTTGGGGTTTCAGGCTTGCGGTTAGTGAGGATTCGGGGACGCTTACCATGATGATCGCGGTGGAAGATCTCATGGGGGCTACTATTGGGATCTATTCCGCCATACTAAGCATCAGCAAGCCATAGGACTTGGTGCTCAGCAGGGTTGTTGCCGTTGCGCTGTTGCTGCTGCTGCTGCTGCTGCTGCTGCCACTACAACCTCCCATTCCCTCTGCTGTGCTAAGGCAGACGCAAACATGCAAAAGCTTGTGATTCAACTGAGCCAGCCACATGCAGGCAGTGGCTGCCATATATGCGTGGTTCTCTTTCATTCCAGCGTCCTCGAATCCTGTCTTGGCCTTCTGAAAGATCTCCTAACACGCAGTCAAGTCCGGAAAATGGAAAGTTCATTTGTTTTCTTGCATGAAAGAATGTGTCAAACACGTCGGGGCTCAATGAAGGAGACATAGAGCATGATTCCGGCAGAAAAGGCCAGGCCCCCGGCCAGGACCAGTTTGCTTGCCAGCTTCACCAAACGCTGGAAGAAAATCACTGATGCCCCTACACCTTGGTGGTTGTCTTGGAGCAGGTCTAGTTTTGTGTGGCGATTTGGATTCTCTACTGGACCATTGGCTTCCCCACCAAAAGATTCTCTGCAACTGTTGCCCAAAGACATGTAGCGAAGCCGGCCACCAGCACCATGAGGAAAGCAATCCCAGCATGCTCCAGGTTCACCATGGCTGCAACACGGCTACCTCAACTTGAGGAATTGCTGGGAGTCTACAAGTGGGAGGGACCAGTACGACAACGCTCCGTATCTTGCGCTGATGGACGAAGGCAAACTTTCCGTGCAACATCAGCAAGCTGCAAGTGACTACATGGATGCCTTAGCAAAGGTCCCTCCTCCAATTCCCGCAACTAACTACTCCAGCTGCAAAAGGCTGTACGATCACGAAGGCACGGATAGGTATCCTTCCGACCCATGATGTCAACTTTTAATCTGGATGGGAAAGGCTTTTGCGATGCCCATTACGCGACCTCTTCTCATTCATCAAACAAGAACACTGAATGTGGCTCCCTTGTTTTGTGCATTTGCGGGGTAATGTTCAGCTTAGAATCTCTTATCAGAAGCCGCGAGCAGAGATCAGCAAATGTAAAGGCCGTCAGGCTCATGGCATTAAGGCCGTCATGGAGCCGGGCGTCATAAAAGGGCCATAATTTTGGCAACCTGGTATTTGAGGAGCCAAGAGCTCTGTTGAATGTCACGGCCCACTGGCAACACATCGGCATGCCTGGTTGCGCTTTACAGGCTTGTCAAGAGGAGCCCATTGCTGAACTTGAAAAAGAAATGCAGTGTCCGATACGAAGGAGGTTCACAATTCTGAGCTTTCCAACAATGCCATGCGGCCACAAATTCTGATGGTACACCTCCAGGCTCACGAGCGATTTAGAGTTGAGACCCTTTAAGGAAGAAAGTGTGCAAGTCCTAGAGACGCATTTTTGTCTGAACCGCTACCTCCTGAAACCGACTTGTTCAAACGCCGATTGTCTTGACTGCGCGGGGTAAAGCCTCTCCGACTGCAGCGCGGGTGGCGTGCCGAATTTCCATACCACTGTGGCAGGACGGCATTACCTCCAAAAGCGGGTCAAGTTGGAAGAGTAGAGGCGATGAAGGCTGAGATGAGCCGAAAGAGGGACTAGCGCAAATGTGTTAAATTCTGTAAAGTTGTTGAATACCCTTTCGGGAGTCATCCTGTTGTTTCATGGGGCGACCAATCATCTGAAATGTCCGGCCTCAGGAATTCTGGCTGCCTAGGGATAGTAAACAGCGGACTTGACAAGTGCTTATCACCACAAGAACCATCTGGTAAACAAGTGTGTGCAGTGTCCACTGAAACTATGCTGAATATTGAAGCGTGAAGGCTTACAACCCGGAATATGACCAAGTAAGAACTTAACTGCCTTCTTCACAGTGGTGCCCCAGCCAAGGCCCCCGCACTGGCTCCGATCTTGTAAAAGCGAGCCTACAGCGACACGTGCGGAGTTACCAACCTTATCGGTCGCCTTTCTGGTTATGTTGGGTTGAACACTGGGTTCTTGCTGAAATACCATGAAAACAGATCGTGTTTTTTTATTGATATTGGGACCATGTATCCATAAAGATGTAAGATTTTGTTCTACAAGAGCCTAGAACAGGGAAGCCGAGGACAAATCTAGGTTTCAAGGCTTATTCGATGAACATGGCGTTGTTTGGCGCTGTTCCGCAAAGATGCTAGAGTCTTTGGGAGATAACGATCCAGAAGCACGGTGGTTGATCAGCGCTAAATCCAAATTGGTGAAGGTACCTGTCGCCTTCTTCAGCTTGCAGTCCCAATAGCCGCGCCACAGCCGAGAGCAACACAACAGCAAACAGTTTCTTTAGGCCCCGGCTATATCCTCCACCCACCGTATCTGCCTGCGCCCCGGCAGTCCTGCAATCAAGAATGGTACTGGTGTGAGCCTCAAACGAATTTCCAGAAAGGAGCTACCTCTACCGGCCCTTGGCTGCATCGCAAACATGGAAGTTCCTGGAAGTTGTCCCTATCAAACGGATCCATGACGCCTTCTAGCAGATGTCGATGATGGGGCTGTGGCCCAAAACTTCTGAAGACTCTGGTTGAGCTTTCTCCGCACGTGCTTTCTTCTTGATTACGGTCTGCAGCCTTTTGGTCGGATGCACTGCAAGGTTCCCCCGAGATTGCCGAGGGCCTATGCCAACAGTGATTCCTGCATCTGCGAAGCAGTCTAGCGGTACAACCCTGGCAATGGTGGTCCGCAATCATATAGCGCTTAAAGACCTGCCGAACGCCACCTCAGTAATCACTCTGGTGCTTCAAGTATGCCACCCTCAAGACCAGCTCACCAAGCAATTTCCGCGCGCCGCTCATACCCAGCCCGCACACCCTGAAGCTCGAAACCAAAGACCTGCTGCCCCTGCGAGGCCCTGCAAGCATCCCTCAATCAATCCCGGGAAGGTTTGCAGTCCTTCTCCACTCTCCTTCCGACTCTGTCCCAAAGGAGGCGGCTGATGTGCCTGCAGGTCATCTAGTCTTATTGGTTGGCTCTGATACATACTGGAAGATGCGAAGAGGGCATTGCATGTTTATACGGGCTTGTGGGACCATCACACCTTGCTTGTTACAGGGAAAATCTGACCATCTTGGAGCATGCGAGGGAAATCCTTCTGCGACAGAGAGGGAGAATCGACTGACGACAAATACACCTAACTCCCATCCCTGCATGCCCACTGCGTGAACCATGGAAAATCAAAGCACCCAACGTTTTCAGAGCGCTGCAAGGTGTGCCCTTGAAAACGACCTGAAGCTTCGTCACGGGGCTTAATTGCATTTTTGTGTGTATCGCAACTCACTGTGGCAGCTGAATTAAGAAGCAGCCCATCCCCCAAAGAACAACGAAGTACCTGTCTTTGTGAACGTCTGGCTTGTGCTATGACTCTTGGAAGGGAATTCATCACAGTGGGAGGGGAGACTTCAGATGGTGATGTCCAGTACCAACACCTCTCATGTTCAACACTACCCCGAGACTTCTCACACCCTGTGATTTACTTCATGAGTTTGTATTTTCCAGCCAAGGTCAAGGTGTGATCCATCTCAAAATATGCCCAACTTAGTCGCTAAGTCGCCAACTCAATTTGTTCTGCCTTGGGACCATCAACTGCGTTTTCGTGGAAAGGCACTATTGAAGTTCAATCATGCCGCTCTCGGGTTCCTGAATGAGACTCTCGCTCGGATTAGCAGGGAACCCCCAAAGGGCGCGTGCACAAATAAGTGCTGTTTCTTTAGTCACGCCTATGTGCTTTTAATGAAACTAGGGTCTAGCTGGAATCATGGCCGCTTTGAAGGCAACGGGCATCTCCATTTTGTACTTGTCGCATCAAAAAAGCAGGATCTCGGCCTACCCTCAACCCCTGCACCCTAAACCCCTGGACGCGAAAATCCTAACCTGCCTTGAGATCCGAATCTCCCCCAAGCTTCAGACCATGTATTCCAACTCTGCCAAACCGATTTTCCGCGAAGCTTTTCCAAGGTTCATCGCAATGGTTTTAGACGGCTTCCATTTCAGGCCGTGGTTGAATGCGTCATGAAGCCGTCAGGTTAGAATGGAACGCAGGCCTGGCCTGATCCTATGCTTCCTTCATGTCCAAGTACGAGCCAGTGCGTCTCCCCAAAGAAGGCACAGGATGAATGGTTTTGACTTTTTCGTAGCTTGACGTAGGCGATCCAAGGTCCGAGACCCTGTTTTGGGGGATTAGGCTTGATTGTTCAGAGGTTTAGGCAGCTCCCCGATATCCGGCCTGGCCGTCATGGTCCAGTGCGGATGCACGCCCAGCTAAGCTGTGCTTATACGGGGTGCCGCCACTACCTCCGACCCCCTTTTTTGGAGGCCCTGGTGGGGGTCAAAAATGAAGATGATTTTTGGACGCGTTTTTGGAGCTTCCCCCCACGGTAGGGAGTGTTTAGGGCACGTTTTTTGGGCAAGCATCATCAGCACAATGGGGCCTTCGTTTCTCACTTTT